TGTGATGGTATTAGTGTGGGTGATTATAAAAGTTATATCACTAGGGCATTAGTATGGATAAGTGGTTAGTGAAATGTTTATCGAATATGACCATTTATGATGAATCATGGACATTAAAATATAGTCAATGATTTATCATAAGATCGTACTAGTGTATTATTAATCCTTAGACCTAAGATCACGGTTGGATTTTGCATAAACGCATATGGTTCATATGGTGTATAAACACGAGGCTAATCATGTCATGTGTTTAAGCTGATTTGGCCATGTGTTGTTTATGTGTGAGGACAAGTGATAATCAAGATGAGATCCGTTGACTTAGTATAGATTGATATCAAGTTCCTAGACAAATGTCAAGATACATTGGAAAAGGAAAATCTTTGGCCGGGGTGTATAAAATGTTACTTGAAAGATTGTTTCATGGTGACACGTTCCATATGTATTGATTGTCAATTTGATATAAATATAAGAAAATGATTTTGATATACCATGAATCCATTCTTAATTGGGATTAGATAATGGAAGGATTTGATTATACAACAAGTATGATTAAAAAAGGGTTCGTTGGAGTATATCTTCATTGTGACTTAGGGGTTATGGAGCATTGTTAGATGCCTACCATAACCGGTGGGAGTTTTATTCATAAAGATTTATGACAAAACATATTGAAATAGATTATGATATTGGGCCCACGGCTAGGCCATAGTGAACCTAAGAGGTCACACATAAAAACTAAAGAGAATGGAGAAATAGCCAAAGAGAGTTGATTATCCAAGGTTGGCTAGCACATACCAAGGGTAATAAAGTTATTTTCATTATTATTATTGAATTAGATTCAAGGGAGGGTTATATTAGTTATTATGAATAATTTAAGAGTTAAATTGCTAATTGGAATTAAATAAAATTTCAATTCATAACTAATCATTTTATTTATATTAAATTGGATTTAGTAATGGGTTGTAATTATAAACATATGAACAATTTAAGGGTTAAATTATTATGTAAATAATTTAAGAATTAAATTATTAATTGTGATTAAATGTTAATCCAATGTTATTATTTAAAGAAGTTTAACAACTTTATAATAATTATGGAATTATTTACAACTTCAAAAAACAATTATGTAATTGTTTAAGGAAGTCCAAAACAATTATTGAATTGTTTACAAGGCTACATATATAAAGAAAATTATATATCAATTTTAAGGTAGAGATCAAAATATCTAAGAACCCGAAATGTCTCTTTTGGCCTAATTCTTCTTTCACCTTAGTGTGGATACTCTTTTGTTTAATTTCTCTTGAAATTAAAAGTCTTCAAGGTTGCTAAAGACTTGAGGTAACAAGTTATACCTTACTTGTTTTCAATTGATTTTTTTTTTTTTTTTTTGGGAAAATATGAATATACATGTTATAGTATCACATGCATCATTCTCCATGTATTCTATCTTTCAGTATATGTCTGAAGGAGGCCAAGACACTTAAACTTTTGTTTTATGTTCTCACCAAGGTGCCTCATACAGAATCCGTGATGTGCTTGAGGGTAAATAGTGGCAATCCCCTTCTTTATAGAGTTGTGCCTATCGGATATTATGCACAACTCGTCATTGTCAGGTACTATTATACGTAATTGCTAAAAAAACCAAGTCCACGACTTGTCATTCTCAGAGTTAACCACACACCATGCAACAGGATATGTGTGATTCTCGTTGTCCTGTGCAGTGGCCACCAACAATGTACCTCCATACTTTCCCATCCAAAAGCAACCATCAACAACCAACACATTTCTCATGTTTACAAAACCCCTTATAGCAGCACTGTAAGCAACAAAAAAAATATTTAAACCTCATATTCTTGTCCCATTTCAAAGTCGTCTTGCTACCTTGGTTTGTCAACTCAAGCGTATAACGACACGCTTCTAATACTACGTACTTGTGCTCCGACATGCCCCTCACAAAATCTTGTGTATGTTATCTCCCTTTCCAACATTTTCAGTAACTAATAGCGCATCCCAACTCTGTGCGCACAAGTCTCTGAATGTCCTTAGGAGATGGACTTTTCCCTTCAACGAACTAGCTTTTGACAAATTGTCCAATAACATCAGTGGAGGCCTATCGATGCTCACTTGAAATATGTCTCAAACCATGTGTGTGCTCACTGGTATATGTGCTAACAATAAATTTTTCGGACTCTGCCAACTTCTACAATAAACCCGCCACTTGCACTTTTGGTCACTACATGCAACCGTCACTACCGATGAATTAGACTTTTTTGTGATGAACTCAAAATTACCTCTCATGGTAACAAGTTTTAGCTTCCTCACCACTTCCTCTTTATTGTCAAATAAATACCCTATGCGCAAGTCCGATCAATCAGTAAAAATATGAGCTGATTCACTACTATATGCAATTGCCACCTTTGAACTTGCATAAAAGACCATAGCGTTTTTTTCCTCACAAATTACACATTCTACATAATATGTATTTAAAGGAATCTCTACATCTGCGGGAACATGTACGGGGTCCTCCTCCTCAACATTTTCATTTTGCCCCATATGACCAACCTCTTCTACAGTGTCCTCCTTACCACCCAAATCACCTTCTACTCTAGATTTTTCAACTAAGAAATCAATGCCCTCATAGTTCAAATTAAAACCAGCATTCTCTCCACCAACTTCCTCATTATCCCCTTCCTTTAAACCAACTTCCAACGGTTTATCTACAAAAGAAATCCTTAAAATCAGCCTCGAACCATTATCGCCCACATCAATCATATATAACTTCACACCTTCATTCGACTTTAATATAGCAGAAGGTACCTTATAATATTTAGGAACTCTGCTTAAAACATACTTTACAACTATATCACTACGTGAGAAAATCAAATCACCTCTTCTAATTATTTCATTAATCAACTCATCAAAACTAACCTTTATGCTCACAACAATTGGTATAACTTCTTTGCTCTTCCCAATCCACTTTCAGCAACTTTCTTCCTCCACCCACTCACCAAAATATCCAACACCCAAAATAATTTGTCCCATGTCTAATAATAGCCAAGTACCTATAATGTAAGAAAAAAAATATTATTAACTGATGTATTAAGGGTTGAAAGATTTTAAGAAGCATTTGCAGAGTTGCTTGATCGATCTAGTGTATTACTTAAGCGATATGGTTATTGGATCGCTTAAGTGATCTGATATAAATCAGTCTGATCGCTTAAGTGATCTTCTGCCATTTACCTGATCACTTAAGCGATCTGTTGCCATAAACCAGACTTATAGCAAATTGCTTAAGCGATCTTTTGCCATTTACTTGATCGCTTAAGCGATCTGCTGCCATATACCAGACTTATAACAGATTGCTTAAGCGATCTGCTGCCATATACCTGACTTATAACAGATTGCTTAAGCGATCTTCTGCCATATACCTGATCGCTTAAGCGATCTACGATTTGTTGCATTATACTAGACATACCAGATCGTTTAAGCGATCCATCATATCCTGAACACATTTTCAGTCATCTCCACTTACAATCGGTGTTACCACTCCCAGCTACCCACAATGCAGGAAAATATTCAACAAATTTCACTCTTTTCAACTTGCATTACATCAAACACAACCTAACCACCTAAACAACTAAATCAAAATCATAACCCAAACCCAATCCATAATTAAATATTTGTAAATCGAAATATAAAATGGATAGGGGAAATACACATACCTGGACGAAATGTCAAAAGGAGGAGGATCTGTGGCAGAGAAGATGTTAATGACAGAGGAAGAAGAAGATGCAAAGGAAGAAGAAGATGTAGACGAAGCTTAGAATAAACATCAACCAGGGGAGAGATGCGTTAATGGCGGAAGGAAGAAGAAGAAGATATTATGTTTGGGTTTGTTTGCAAGAATTTCAGGTTTTTGGAAGGCCATTTAGTAAAGACTAAAAAACTAGATGGCCTTTTAGTTAAATTCAAAGCCAATATGACCTTTTAGTTAAATTCAAAGCCAATATGACCTTTTAGTCATTTCCCCCCAAATGCAATTGCCCTCTGGGTTTGTGGTGAGGTTAGTGTGGGATGACTTGTTCAGTTGTTTGTCAACTACAAGGTGATTTTTTCAAAATTTTAGGGGTTAAATAAAATTAACCATGTCTAACTATATTAACCGTAGATGCGTCATTAGACATAAATACCCCTTTTTGCCCCTTCTTACTACTGTCTTTTCCATTACAACTTTTCGAAATCTCAAGCGTTTTGTACTAACTTGCGTTTGTGTACGCTGAGTGTTTTATGAGAATAGTTATTTATTTATTTATTTTTTTTATGATCCGAGGTGTCAAGATCAGTTTGTGTATACCTTGATTATTCTTTCGGGACTCTAAAACATTAGAACTATCGGTCGGACACGAGCTTTAATGGTCTCTCCTATTAGATCTTCTTTTGCTCTCATACCATCAGGCCACCCAGTGGTGGTTAATAACTAATTCTTCTGCTTTGAATGAAATACATAATAACTTTTTTTTTTTTTTTATATATATATCATTTTAACATGATAACAATATATAATAAGCTGATATAATCATAAATTTTAATCAAACTTCTCAATCAATTTTTCGGTTTTAATCTTATGAAAACAACCAATTAATGCTGAAATTAACGCTTCAATTTATGAAGAATTTGAAATAGCTCAAAATCAAATTTCAAAATATAAGAGAAAATAAGAAAAACAAAAGTGAGTTAAAGGTTAGCTTGATTAATATATTTAAGGTTTTTGTTAATTTTGTTCAAGTCCCTTTATGTTCTATTAATCTATTAATACCTGTTTTTACATTTAAATTAATTAATTTAACCTATTTGGCAAGGTCAAACAGTAAGGTTGACCGCGCGACATTTAGGCAAACGTTAGGTAAGTTTACAAAACTTAGTTCAAACGATAAAGGTGATAAAATCTTCATATCAGTTCCTTTAATTTCATTGGATTTGTAATTTTCCAAATCAAAATCTCCATGAACTATTCAGACCTCCAATCATTCAGGCGACTCGGCCTCGAGTACGGCTTTGTTTATCACAAAGCCTTCCACTGGCCAACCAACCAAGTTTACGTTCTCGAAAGCTTTATAAGCGAATGCATATCCGGCAACGGCCCTGAAATCCGCCAACAGATCGAGATCTTCCGCCACGTGGACCGCCCCAATGTGATGAAATTCGTCGACAGCTTCGATCTTGGCTACGATCATATTGAACTCCTCTTAGAGTTCTTCGATGGTAAGCCGCTTGACCAATCTTGTATTACCGACAAACAGATACTTTCCAAAATGGCGAAACAAAACTTAAGAGGGCTTTCTTATTTACATAAATGTCGCATTGCTCATAAGGGTATTAAGCCTTTGAGTTTGTTTATGGATTCAAGACACAAGGTGAAGATTACAGACTTTGTTGCGAGTAATATCGAAGGAAGTGTAGCTTATATGAGTCTCGATTACCTTTTTGGGAAGTGGAGACTTAACGATGATTTGATTGATGAGTGTAGTGGAGATGTATGGGGTTTTGGTATAACTATGTTGGCGATTTATATGGGAAAGCTTTCACATTCTTTGAAGGAAAGGGATTGGGCAAGTTTGATGTTGGCAATTTTAAAGTCACCGCCACCGGAGGCATCGCTTACGGCGTCCGGGGAGTTTAGGGATTTCATTGGTTGTTGTTTGCAGAAGGAAGCCACTAGGAGGTGGCGGCGGAACAGTTGTTGCAGCATCCGTTTATACTGAGAAGTGAAACCAATGACGATGACCAAGCATGTAGCCACATACATAGTTGTGGGTTCAATTGAACCCACTCAACTTTTTAAAAATTTCAAAAAACGTATTAATATTTTATAAATTTTATAATTTTAATCCAACTTAATTTCATATTAACCTAATGTATTATTAATTAACTATTTTTTAACTTTTCTCTCTCCTTCATTTCCTCTCATTTTCTATCATATTATATTTTTCCTTTGATTAAATACTCAAGAAAGACCACTCCTTTGTATTACAAGGTAAGATGATGCTCATTTTATTTTTATTATTTTTTTACTTAAACTTCTTTTCTTTTAGCTTTCTTAATTGATGAAAGATCATGAGCTATGAGTTTTTACTGAGTTTAATAAATGAGTTTGAAATCGGAAGATTAAATTACTAGATTTTAACGTGAGTTTTGATTTAATCTTGTTTATGTTGAGGTATGAGTTAATTAGTTGTTGTTTTAAGTTGAGTTTGATAAATTTTGGCTAGTTATTGAGTTAATTTTGAATGGTTTAAAGAATTAATGAAACCCTAAGTTGTAGAGATTTGGGGATTATATAACGTTTTCAGAATATGAAAAAACGTCGAGGACAATTGTAGAATTGATAATTTGGTATGTATAACTTTTAAAAGTACATTTTTCATGCTCATTATTTCAGTATATATTTTATTGTAAATGTATCAATTTTGATGTTTTGAACCCACTGACTCAGAATCCTGGCTACGTCCTTGACGATGATGAGAATGATGAAGTTAACATGATTCAAAATCCAATGGCTAACAGTAAGTTATTATTTTATTTTATAAATTGACAACTGTTTCGTCAAACTGACTTTGGAAAGTTCCTCCTTGACTTATAACCCTAACTTGACAGTGGACTTTGACTAAACATGAACCCTAACGTGGCAGTAGACTTTGACTAAACATGAACGACTGCTCTTTAGGGACAAACGACTGTTCATTCATAAGGAATGGTTTCATAAGAAATGGTTGCTATTCCTTATGAAGAAACAACCCCTAACGTGACAATAGACTTTGATTAAACATAAACCCTAACGTGGCAGCAGACTTCGACTAAATATGAACGACCACTCTTTAGGGACGAATGATCGTTCATTCATAAGAAATGGTTGTCATTCCTTATGAAGGAACAATCGTTTGTATGGTCTAATCAAAATCATTTAGTGCCTTGGGTGTAGTGGGAGCTAATGTGACAGTTGCCAACTTAGTTGTTACGTTGGGCTTGTAAGAGAAGGTTGTGAGATTGAGTTATGAGCGTAGTATTACTCTTCTTCAATTCTTAAGTCATGTAAACTTAACTTGATTGCAGTAAAATAAGATGGAGAATTGTTGTCATGTATGATTGGATTGTATTTGATTTATATTTAATTTGTATGTAAATTGTGTGCATGATAAAGAAAAAACTCAAATTTGAATTTAATTTCCTTTTATTTTTGCGATTGCTTTTAAGTTTCGAGCTCTTCTCCCCAAACTTGACTTATAGGTTTCGCAGACTAGGTTTTTTTCTACTTTATTCCTTTTTTCCCTTTTGATTAATTCCTCTTTGATCTTTGTTTCTCAATATTTACTAATATTCTTACAGAATTTATAGTGGCACAATTAAATAATAAAGTTTCTCTTCGCAAAGGCAAAGCAATGAAAAAAGCTATTGAATTAACAGAATAGGCGGATCCAAAAGGAATTCAAGTGCAAATTGCAGGGCGTATCGACAGAAAAGAAATTGCACGTGTCGCATGGATAAGAGAAGGTAGGGCTCCTCTACAAATCATTAGACCTAACATAGCCTTTGCCTCGACCCCTACTTCTCATCATATATGGATTATATGGAAACATGCCAAAGTCAAAGTTACTGAATGAGTTATTTGATGGTACAAACTGAGATTGGTAAGGTAAAGGAAATTCAGGTTTGGGATTTCCTTGACTCATGGGATTTCCAACAAGCTGAGGCATATTAGGCACATTAGAAACCATTGGTGCAAAGGAGTGCATCGACATGTTAGGAGACAGTACATTAGATGGCATGAAGGTCTAATTTGACAAATTCACACCTCCATTCATATCTGATATAGAGGTGTTTTTGTTCTGAGATACTAAGGACACATCATTGCTTCCTTGACTGAATCCTTGTTTAGAAACTACAAAAGTTGAACCGAGCTGATCATGAAGACTATTGTAGGCATTATGTTGTCTCTTAAGTCGCATTTCGTGCTTATGAATTAGGAACTGAGCCTCTTGTAACGTAGTGCTACTACTATTGGAAGTAAGGTTAGCTACCACAACATCATATTCTGGTCCTAACCCGTCAAGAATGTACAACAACAACTCCTCATCATTTATATTCACTCCACTAGCAACCAATTCATCTACCAATTCTTTCTTCTTTAGTACATATTCACTAATATTACATGAATCTTTCTTAGTGGTTTGTAGTAAGTTTCTTAAATGTAGTGTCCTAGCTTAGAAACTGATTGAAAGTGCAATTCCAAAATGTTCCAAATTTCATAAGCAATATTGCATTTAGCTACGTGTCTAAACATTAACTCAGAGATAGTGGAAAATAACCAACCAACAAGAAATTGATCAAATTTCTTCCAAGTAAAGTAGTTAAGGTTTGGTTTCTTTACCGTCTCCCCTGATTCATCTGACTTCTCTATCAGAAACATTGAAGGACAAGCTTTCTCTCTTGTAACAAAGCCGTCCAATCCATAAGAAGTTAAAGCGGGTAGAATTTGCGACCTCTAAAATGTATAATTCCTCTCTAACAACTTGACCGAGATTGAAGGTAAAGTAGGAGTAGCAGCTGTAGCTACACAACTCGTAAAAATGGAGTCCATCGCTCTTAAAACTGAGGATGAATTAGCTAAATCAGAGTTTGGATTCACCATAGACGCGTGTCTAAGGCTCTGATACCATGAAGAGATTTGTGTATTGAAGAAAAATTCAAGAGAAAAGAAGATAGAATATGCGACTGTATTGAGTGAATTTCATTATGTTTTTCATTGACTAACAAAACTGTACACATATGCTTTTATAGTTGCTGTGTAATACAAAGTAATACAAAACATCGTGTTTTAAGACTTTGCCTAAAAACGCTGTGTATTACAAACATAAGAACAATAACAAGTTAGTACTTTTAGCTCCTCTTCTGCACAATATCTTCCCTCAAAACAGACTTCTCTTCATCTCATTCTCTGCTGTTATGTACAAGGGATTTTTTTTTTTTTTTAAATTTTAGGGGTTAAACATAATTAACCATGTCTAACTATATTCACTGCAGGTCATTTGACATAAATATCCCTTTTTGCCCCTTCTTGCAATTGTCTTTTCCATTACAACTTCCAAAATCCCTAGCACTTGTACTAATTTTTTTTTATACATAATAAGTTGATATAATATAATTTTTTATCAAATTTCTCTATCAATATACACATATAGCTACGAGAAGAAAAACTGTAGCAAATACATATTTATAGCTATAAAAGTCAACATTTATAGCTAATTGAAATAATTTTAGTGATAAGAATTTCTCCCTTGAAGCTAATATTCATCTATTGCTTTAACTTATTAAAATTGTAGCAATAGCTATTCATTTAGCTACAATGTATTAGCTATGATAAAACATTGTAGCTAATTAATGTATTTAGCTATAAATATTTCATTTACATGGCATATAGTATCATTATTTGCTATGAGGTTTAACTATATAGCTATTATTTGTGCATTAGCTATAAAATATTGAGATTTGTAGCTAATTAATGTATTTAGCTATAAATATTTCATTTACATGGCATATAGTATCATTATTTGCTATGAGTTTTAACTATATAACTATATTTGTGCATTAGCTATAAAATATTGAGATTTGTAGCTAATTAATGTATTTAGCTATAAACATTTTATGTACGTGGCATATAGTATCATTATTAGCCACGAGTTTAATTATATAGCTATATTTGTACATTAGCTATAAAATATTAAAATTTTTAGCTCATTAAGGTATCTAGCTATACAAATTTTATTTTCATGGTAGTGACAACATTTTAGTATCATTGTTAGCTACTAGTTTCAATATATAGCTAGTATGTGTGTATTAGCTATAAATTATTTGAAATTGTAGCAAATAAAGAATGTGAAAATTAATTTGCTACAATCCTTATAGTATGCAGCTATAGATATTAAAATTTATCTTATAAGTAATTATATTTTTATTACTTATGAATTAAATAGTTATAGTCAAATATAGTGTTAATCACACCACTAAGGTCAATAGTAAATGGAACCTTAAACCAATAGCTAACTTAAAAGAACTCTTCTACGAGCTAAGAATGTGAGCTTTTGTAAAATAAAAATTGTATTTTAAAGGATCTCTAAGGTTTTTGTCTTTTCTATGATGATTTAAAACTAACACTTTATAAAATGTAAGTGATTTTAGGTATGAGATATAAGATATTATAAAAATTGATAATGTTACATATTTTTATATATGAACTTGTATGTATGTTTTAGATGACGATTATGACAAGAGCGTTATAAAACTATTTAATTATTAATACGTTTAATAAAAAGAATATTTAGTTGTATGGAAGATAAGTTTTAATAAACTGTGTATATGTCAAAATAACCAAAACCCCATAATATATTTATCAAACCCTGTCCACTTCACAAAGTATTAATATGAAAGCAAATTAATTGAATTGTATAACCATAAAACTTTATAAAATTGAAAGCATAATTTGTAAATAAAGGGATTGAACTCAAGTCGTACAACTCATCTAAACAATAAAAACTGTATCAAAAATCTCGAAGCTTTCAAACAAATATAATATGAAGATTAAAAAAAATGTAACAAACATCTATAATCTATATGAGCAAATCTTCATCATCAATGTCACTATCATCAATGTCACTATCATCAATGTCACTATCATCATGTCTTCACCTAATCTCTTCATCAACACTAT